ATTCAGGTATGTATTTTCAAGGCCCTTTCACACGGGGCACATTCTGTTTCAATTAGCAGGGAATCTATGAACTGATCCCCTGCTGATCAGAGCAAAGCAGGCGGATGACACTTCTGTGTCCTCTCAATATCTGCAGAGCAAACACCAACAAAGCCTGCGCTGCTTTATAGGTGGCCGGGAGTAAATGGACTCTGCTGTCCCTTTACACCCAGCTACCTCCAATCCACTTCGCCTAAACGGAAGACAAGAGTACTCTCCTGTTTTTCTTAGCATGCCTGACCCAGAGGTAGGCAGGTGTAAACAGACACTAGTCCGTTTATTTATTTATTTATTATTATTTATTTCAGGTACTTATATCAATTTATGCAGCGCTTTACATATATATTGTACATTCACATCAGTCCCTAATCCTCAAGGGGCGTACAATCTAAGGTTTACACCCATCTGTCCATAGGGATGAATGGACCTTCCAATTAGGTCCGCCTGAAAAACTGATAGGCGGACCTCATCAGATCTCAAATCTTAAAGGGGCCTATCTAAAAAAAAAAAGCCCCTTCTATTACTCTCCGCCTCCCACAAACGTCCTATTTCCTTTTGCTTGAAGCTGTGATCTGACTTCCTGTTAAAGAGTTTCTGCATTGGTTCTCCATGGTCCCAGTGTATTTAGGAACATAGCCACCTTCTCTTGCTCACTCCCAAGGTGGACTGTGAATTAAGGACTATGGTGTCCGTTTATGAACCAGCAGTAATAGATCTGCTCAGTTCTCCGGCATTCTCGTAGAACACAGTTCTCCTGTGAATGCCGTTTATGAAGCATATGTAGATCAGTTCTCCAAACGAAGGGAGAACGGTCTACAAACGCTGGAAAACGGCTGATTTTATTATAATCTCGTGAGATTACAGTAAAAGATCAGTTTACTAAGCAGAGGTAAATTATCTCTGCTTAGTTTTCGGTCCCTCCAATTCTCCAGCTCTGGGCTGGAGCATCTGGAGGGAGAACACAGATCTCCAGCAAAGAGCTGAACATGTTTTCCTGGGTGTCATAAACTGTGAATGACAAGAGAATAGCTGTGATCCTCTGAATCTCAGCTATTCTGTGTGTCATAAACGGACACCTATGTGATTTGTAGTGTGCATAGAGCAGTGCACATGACCGCAATTAATGTACACAGCTTGTTCAAAAAGCAGAAGTGACAGGGAAAATGAGATGTTTGGAAGCTCACATTACAAGGATTCAGAAAACACAGTAAGAAACAATATCATGAAAATTAGTATACAGGATCATTAAGTAATGGCTGTGTCTGGATTATTTTAGAACAAGAATATTGTTTTTGTGTCACTTTAAGGTGTTTGCATATTTTTTGTAAATCATAACATATTAACAGTTTGTGTAACTGCCTGACCTAGCTGTGTTTTTTATTTCCCTAATTTCCAACACAACAGAACTCTATGAAACTCAAAGACTGATGGCCAGCCATGTCAGTCATACAGGTTATTTGGCATTGCACAGTGATGTCAATCTAACAAAGGCACCATGCTTCCAAGAGGGGAGTTCATATTTATGACTCATTAGTGTGCTGTTACTCCTTCACTGTTCAATCAGCAGACTGAGGCAGAAGTGACAGCTCTGCATTTCTTAAAAAAAAGTGGTCACCTTTCCCATTCAGGGAAATGTCATAGAACCCTTGCAATAGTGCCCCCCCTAACCCACCGATCTTCACCTTGCTAGTGTTCCTCCATCACTCCTTCCTCCTTAGCAGCCAGCACTAAAATTTTCTGTGTTGGCTGATGTCAGGTGCTAGTGGTAGCAGTGATGTCACTTCCTTTTTCATGTGATAGTGCTTAAACTAGCAAATGGCCGCTACTAAATTCAAGCACCAGAAGGACATCACATGCATCTTTACACCCAGAGGCACTAAGAATTGTTTTACTGTCTTTGACAGAGGAAGGAGAAGCAGTGGTGCACAGTTCAGTGGGAGCATCAGTGGATCGGAGGTTGGGGTGTAAAATGCACAGTCTACTCACTTTTAGTAAATCGACCGCATACTGTAGCTAACTACCAATTGGCAAACACTTCATAATATCTTCAGGACAGATTTATGATTTTGGATAGGGATGCACATGATTTGCCACCCCTAAAAAGTGATGATTTTCCTTATCCCTATCATGATTGTAACAAGCTCTTTAAAAATTGGAGATACCTGTATCACAACCTGGGACTACTTTGGGACATTATTTCTGTTGTCTGTGCTTATAGTGAATTCTCTATAGGAATATACAGTTGTGTTCAAAATAATAGCAGTCAGACATCACTAACCTGATCAGTCACTGTTTTTGGTAGAAATGATAGTTCTACATGGCAAATAATTTACTAGCAGGTGTAGTAGAGTAATAGAAATCCAGCAGACCCAACAGTCATGACGTGCATGCTGCTGATTCTGTGTAATTGAATCACTAATTGAAAGGGGCATGTTCAAAATAATAGCAGTGTGGAGTTCTATTAGTGAGGTCATTCATTCTTTGAAAAACAGGTGGCAATTATTGCCCTTATTTAAGGAAGGAAGGCAGCAAATGTTGTACATGCTGGTTACAGTGCATTTCTCTCTGAAATTCTGAGAAAATGGGTCGTTCCAGACATTGTTCAGAAGAACAGCGTACCTTGATTAAAAAGTTGATTGGAGAGGGGAAAACATATAAAGAAGTGCAGAAAATGATAGGCTGCTCAGCTAAAATGATCGCAAATGCTTTAAAATGGCAACCGAAACCTGAAAGACGTGGAAGAAAGCGAAAAAAACTACTTTCAAATGGATAGAAGAATAGCCAAAATGGCAAGGACTCAGCCAACAATCAGCTCCAGGAAGATCAAAGAAGGTGTAAAGTTACCTGTGAGTACTGTTACAATTAGAAGACGCCTATGTGAAGCCAAGCTATCTGCAAGAAGCCCCCGCAAAGTCCCACTGTTGAAAAAAAGACATGTGCTGAAGAGGTTACAATTTGCCAAAGAGCATATTGACTGGCCTAAAGAGAAATGGCGCAACATTTTGTGGACTGATGAAAGTAAGATTGTTCTTTTTGGGTCTAGTGGCCGGAGACAGTTTGTCAGACGACCCCCAAACACTGAATTCAAGCCACAGTACACTGTGAAGACAGAGAAGCATTGTGGTGCAAGCATCATGATATGGGGATGTTTCTCATACTACGGTGTTGGGCCTATTTATTGCATACCAGGGATCATGGATCAGTTTGAATACATCAGAATACTTGAAGAGGTCATGCTGCCTTATGCTGAAGAGGAAATGCCCTTGAAATGGATGTTCCAACAAAACAACGACCCCAAACACACCAGTAAACATGCAACATCTTGGTTCCAGACCAACAAGATTGACGTTATGGAGTGGCCAGCCAATCCCGGATCTTAATCCAATAGAAAACTTGTGGGGTGACATCAAAAATGCAGTTTCAGAGGCAAAACCAAGAAATAGAGAAGAACTGTGGAATGTAGTCCAATCATCCTGGGCTGGAATACCTGTTCACAGGTGCCAGAAGTTGGTTGACTCCATGCAACACAGATGTACAGCAGTTCTCAGAAACAGTGCTTATACAACTAAATATTCATTAAGTGATTCAAAGGAAAGCAAAATCTTCAAACATTTTTCAGTTTATATAGTGAATGTTTGAATTTGTAAAGAAGAATACAAACACTGCTATTTTTTTTTGAACAGTCTAATATTCACTTTTCTTCAATTTTTTTAGAGGAACAACACAAATTTGATATATTTTTCTTCATGTTTTGATTTGGAATAGAATGTGTAGTGTTCCCAATGCATTTGTGTGTATGGAAATAAAAGCTATTAGAAGGATTTTGAGTTTTATTCGCTTTTTTCAACACAGCTGCTATTATTTTGAACACAACTGTACATTTGTGCTCAAAAGTTTGCATACCGTGGCAGAAATCGTGGAATTGATATTGAAAATATGCCCAAAAACTGTCTTTTATTTTAAGGATAGTGATCATATGAAGCCATTAATTATCACATAGTTGTTTTTACTCCTTTTTAAATCATAATGTGAACAGAAGTCACCCAAATGGCCCTGATCAAAAGTTTACATACCCTGGAATGTTTGGTCTTGGCACAGACACACAAGGTGACACACACAGGTTAAACTGGCAATAAAGGTTAATTTCCCACATCTGTGGCATTTTAAATTGCAATTCAAATCTGTATTTAAATAGTCAATGTGTTTGTTAGCTCTTACTTGGATGCACTGAGCAGGCTAGATACTGAGCCAAAAGCAGAAAAGAACTGTCAAAAGACATGCATAACAAGGTAATGGAATTCCATAAAGATGGAAAAAGGATATAAAAAGATATCCAAACTCTTGAATATGCCAGTGAGTACTATTCAGTCACTTATTAAGAAGTGGAAAATTCTGGGATCTCTTGATACCAAGCAAGGTCAAGTAGACCAAGCAAAGATTACAGCCACAACTGCCAGAAGAATTGTTCATGATAAAAAGAAAAACCCACAGATAACCTCAGGAGAAATACAGCCTGCTGTGGAAAAAGACTGTATGGTTGTTTCAAGGAGCACAATAAGATACTTGAACAGAAATGAGCTGCATGGTTGAGTTGCCAGAAAGAAATCTTTACTGCACCAATGACACAAAAAACCTAGGAAGGCATGTCAAGGTGTTGTTGGGCATACTGTAACTGGTCTTTTTTGTGGCAGGCATTGGCACTATAGGATAATAAATGGCTTCATATGATCACTATTCCTAAATAAAAGACAGTTTTTTTCCATGATCAGTCATATTTTCAGTATCAATTGCCAAAATGTCATGATGTCTGCCAGGGTATGCAAACTTTTGAACACAACTGTGTGTGTATATATATATAATCTTTTCAATGAGACAACCATCTGTATTCTGTTCATGCAATACAAGTTTCATTTCGTACAAAGTCATACAAGTTTAATCCTTCTGGCTTACTACTTATACAGCTGTCAGCCAGGGCCCAGCTGGGCAGATTGATGGAGACGTATCTGAAGAAGGGGAAAGCTGTGCCAGATGAGTTACTTGTTGATATCCTTGTCACAGCCATCAAGTAAGGAAATATATTTTCTCTCTTTTTCCCTAACCAGGACACTCTGTCTATTGTATATTCCTTAAGTTGCTTATTTAAGTGGCAAGTAAACAGTTATGGGCTCCATATTGGTCTTTTACGTGTATACTATTTCTAATTTTAAAGGAAACCTGTTTTGAAAAAAATATGGGGGCTTCCATTGCTACCTACTTTGAGAATAATAATTGCCTGGCTGTTTTTGGCTTCAATACTTGGTCCTTGGTCAGAACCAAGGACAAGCATGCCTGTTTGGAGCTTCTCATACTACATACTTGCACAACAGATCAGCATGACAGCCACCAAGCTTGTATCTTCATAGGGAGGTGTCAGCAGTGGAGTCTTCTCCTATGAAAAGGTTTCCTATTGTTGACCATTTTGTGAGTGAGGGTCATCGGTACCTAAACATCCAAGCGAAAATTATCTAGGTCCATATGCAGAAGTTAACTAAAACGCTGATTAATTGGCATACCTAAAAATGTATACTTTGTTTAACAACTTTTAGTTGGTACATTGTTTTAATAAATACCTGATTCAATTTGTTTTATATGTTAAAGCCGATCTCCAGCTTTTAGTTATATTTAAATAGTTTATTTGAACCAAGCATGTCCAAACTATTTACTTCACTAAGACATGCAGCAGCCTCAGCTTCCTACAGTATACAGCGCTGTGTTCTGGCAGTGGAATGAAGACTTCCCTTCCAACACCCAGAACAAAATAGGCTGTTTTGAATTCACAGGGAGCTTTGAATTTTCTGAATGAATACAAAGCTGCCTCTTCCTTGGTCAAGGCAGAGAGGCGGGTTGATGACATTTATTTATTTCAGGTACTTATATAGCGCCATCAATTTACATATATATTGTACATTCACATCAGTCCCTAACCCTCAAGGTGCGTACAATCTAAGGTCCCTAACTTGCATTCATACATACACATACTATGGCCAATTTAGACAGGAGCCAATTCACCTACCAGCATGTCTTTGGAGTGTAGGAGGAAACCGGAGTACCCGGAGGAAACCCACGCAGGCACAAGGAGAACATGCAAACTCCAGGCAGGTGGTGCCGTGGCTGAGATTCAAACCAACGACCCTACTACTGCCAGGCGGAAGTGCTAACCATTTAGCCACTGTGCTGCCCGCTCTTCTGTTATCGCTATAATACTCACTTTAATAAAAAAAACGATGACATAACGATCTCCATCTCAGCCAGTCAGAGGAAACTTTGTATTTATTCAGAAAATTGAAAGCTCCCTGTGTAGAACTGAGCAAAGCTAAGCCTAACTCAAATTTGTTCCAGGTGTGGGACTGTATGTAGCTGAGGCTACACACAGTCCATACAGCTCTGAAAGCCTCTTCATGTCTTAGCCCTGGTTCACACTGATGCATTTTCTAATGTGATTCAGATCACATTAAACCGTATGACAAGTGAAATAACATGAGTTTGCATGGAGCCCATTCACATACATGCAGTGCAGCTGCAATCTGATTTTGAAGGGTCCTGTTCAAGTTTGGCGCATTGCAGTCCGATTCTGAGGTCCATAGACATCAATGGAAATGCTTTCAGATCACTTATCTGAACTCAAGCCCGTTTTTTTCCCTCTAGTCTTTGCTCTCCTCACACAGCATAGAAAACGCAGTGTATTCAAAGTGCGTCCAAATCACATCCAAATTACATCAGAACTGCTTTGGAACTACATAAATTCACACTGAAACGTCTCCTTGAAATTGCACTGAAAAACAGATCGAAATCGCACTGCATCAGTGTAATTCTAGGCTTAGTGAAGTAAACAGTTCGTCTGGATCAGCTTTGTCCATGTGAACTATTTAAAGTGATTTTAAACCTTTTTTTATCTTGTTTAATACCAAACATGTTATATTTATCTGCTCTTTGCAATGGTTTTGCACAAAGCAGCCCAGATCCTCTTCTTTTAGTGGCCCTTTGAAGATAGAGTGAGCTGAGAGAGCCACTGCTCTCATGCGTAGCACCGGATCGAGATCGGGCAGGACTTGCACACTAAAGGTTTTATACTTTAATGCATAAAAGTTAAAAACCTTAAGCCTTTAGAACTACTTTAAACTTAACTAAAAGCTGAGGATCAGTATTAACCTATGGACAAAAATGTGGATTTTATTTTTTTTTTTATTTTAAAAGCTTATAGTAATCTTTTTAGGATGAATTAATGTATTTTTCTTTTTTTTTTTTTTTTTTTTTTATGGTTTGCCTTTCACTTTTAACAGCTGCAGCCTGTCAACTGCTTCTGCCAAAGTGCCTCTTTTTTGTGTGAGAGGCACAGTAACAATTCATTTGGCTGGCTCTGGCTTCAATATAACTTACAACTTTATGTTGTTACTATAAAATCATAGTGATTGCATGATTAGGAACCAAAATTATTTTTTTTTTTACTGCTGTATCTGAAAGAACGATTATTGTTAGACTAAGTAATATTGTTATTTATGCATCACCTAGGTTTCCAACCACATATGGTGAGAGGATCCATGTATGTTATCTGCTATGGAGGAAACAAACTGTTGTTTTCTTAGCAGTTATTAAGTTCTTGTTTGGATCCTGGAGGCCGGAGGGGCTGTAGATGTTTTGGTAGGATAAAGCCTCCAGGTCCATATCTAACCTGTTTGCCAGACCATGCTAATTAGTTTCAGCCATCCATGGGCCTTTTTGTATCTGAGTTTACTGATGCTAGAGGCTCTCTTTCATTTTCTTTGATGTTAGAGCCTGCTGCTGGGTTGACTGCTGACTACACTAAAAAAGTACTCTGCCAAGCTTGGCTCAGGCAGTATGGGAGTACTCTGTACACACGGTGATGCTAAAGACATTCCTACTGGGGTGGTCACAGTAGAATACCTAGTGGAACTGTAAAACATGTCATGGGTTTGGTTAGGAACTACTACAGTTACACAGTGTAATAATGGGATCTGATTTTTTGCTGTTTTGGAACTGTGGGGGAAACAATAGGTCGCCAGTTCTGAAAGTGCATCTGAAGTAAATAAGATTAATATTTTGGTTGAACGTAAGAGGGAATTTTGATTATCCTACTTCAAAGGTATGTGAAAATGTCCCTCTAGCAGTTATGGTTGGGGAGTCAGATCAACAGGCATCAGTATCGGATTTAACAGATATACTTGTGGCCAGGGGAAAATTCTGGAACCACACAATTAATGGGTCAGAATTTGGCAAGTGCATGGAAAAAATGGAAATGTTATTCTGGGTATCCTATGAACCAGAGTTTGGTCATGTATATCCATATTTTGCAGTATATACCTTATACTTAATATATTTGGCAAAGAAATAATGGGAGCAAGTAATCTCACATGAAGATGATGTTGGATATGGCCCATTCTCGTATGTTGGGTGGTTATTTGGGGTAGAAAAACAAAAGTGTGGATTGAGCAGTGTTTTTTTGTCCCACAATTTACAAAACCTTTTAGCAGTATTGTAAATATTGCCCTGTGTGTCAAATTAATGCATCCCAACCACATTTTCGAAATCCCCTGGTACCTTTGCCTATAACTGAGGTCCCTTTTGAAAGATTTGGTATGAATCTGGTCTGGCCATTGCCAAAGCCTGCCAGTAGGCATTAGCCACTAAGAGAAGGCAAGGTCAGGGAGGCACAGAAAAGATGGCTTCTTGTTTGACAGTTGGTAGCACTATTTTACTTTTTTTAGACTGCATTTTACTTTTGAATGTGTAAAATGGCTTACAGGTTCACTTTAAGTATGTAAATTGTTGCTTTTTGTTTTAGTAATATTCCAGCAAACTCTGGATGGGTCATAGACAGCTTTCCAGCTACTTTGAGTCAGGCAAAACTGGTAGAGAAAGCTCTCACAGGATGCGACCCAGACAAAATGGAAACAAGAAACAAGAAGAAGACGTCAACTCTAGTGAAAGATCCAAATGCCCCACAGGATCCTCCAGCACCTCCTCCAGCATTAGACTTTGTTGCCTTAATAGAGATTTCAGATAATGTAGTATTAGAGCGTGCTGCAGCATTATATGGTAAGATGGCTGGTAAGAATAAAAATAAGATTGGGCACAATGGGCAGATGTCTAACCAAAACTGATAGGTGGTAAAATCTCTGCCTGAGGTCTTTAATGTATCTGTGGTGCAGGGGTCCCATGCAATTTTACTGTATATCTAAAACCAAGAAAAATATATATATATATATTGCAACTAATCTATCCTTAAATGTGGTGGCTGCATTCATTTATTGCAGGCTTTTTTGCTAATTTTCCTTGGTGATCCGGCCAATAATACATTTCCTAACTCACTAAACTGTATTGTATCAACTCTGCCATCCTAGGAAAGGAACTGTGTTTGAACTAAAAAAACAACCGCCTCTCCTCATCTCTATGTAGCGATACTCCCTGTAGAAGCCAGCTGTATTTAAACGTCCCTTAGATATTTTCCTGAAATTGCCCCACAGCCAGGCACACAGTCACTCCATTGGCTCAATGAACAGTCTAGTGCACGGGTGTCAAACTGGCGGCCCTACAGCTGTCGTCAAGCTACAAGTCCCAAGAGGCATTGCAAGATTGACAGATACAAGCATGACTCCCAAAGGCTGAGGCATGATGGGACTTGTAGTTTTGCAACAGCTGGAGGGCCGCCAGTTTGATACCCCTGGTCTAGGGGTATGCTTTTCTGATGTTCTAAAGAAGAACTTGAACTTGGATAGAGGTAGGGTAACTGTGGGATACTCCAGTAACCTATAGTGGCAGTTTTGAGAACAGTAAGCTTCCCTCTTTAGAACTGTGAGCAAAGTCCTTGTAAAAGTAGACTGACTGAGCTTTGTAGTAGTAACTTGAGGATATATAGATCTTCCACTCGGGCAAAGTCCTATTACTAAGAATTAAATACTGAGCTCTTCAGAACATCAGAAACTATGTCTCCTTTACACACAGCTGACTTTTTAGCACGAGAGGGGTGCAACCGTGGACAGTCTATAGGATCTTTCTCGCCAGTCTGTACTCACATATTTCTTCAGATGTTGGTTGCCTCCTGCCAGTATCTTCCAGACACCTTCTCCCAGTGACATCAGACTAGATCCTCCGATGAAAAGCCCCTCGGTCAGCTCCAGACACTTTTAGCAACTAGGCCCCTCAATCAGGCCAACTGAGGTGTCAGCAAACCGCAATCACATGTCAAAATTGCCTAGGAGGCAATCAGCCCCCCCCTAGGCTGTGATCTCCTCCTTAGGAACAAGACAACTCTGTTCCAGGTTTCAGACTATTTGTACACCTTCCCAGCAACCATCTGTGCAGTCTCCCACAGGGATTGGCTGACACAGTATACAATGTGTATAGAAAATAAACACCCCCTTTAAAATAATCACAATTTGTTGCTTTGCAGCATGAAATAAAAACAGATTCAGTTTTTGTTTTAACCAGCTGTATTTGCTGCAACTTATAGCATCCAAGTGAAAGATACAACAACATGTCAGACAGGCACAAGTCAGGAGATGGATACCAAAAAATTTCAAAGGCTTTATCAATGCCTAGAAGCACAGTGAAGTCTATTATCAGGAAGTGGAAGGTATTTAAAACAACATAGACCCTCCTTGGATGAGAACGTCACTCCAAACTGGATTAAAGAGCCAGCAGAAAACTGATTAGAGAGGCTACCAAGAGGCCTACAGCAACACAGAAGCAGCAATTTATAGCAAAAAGTGGTCATTATGTGACAACAATATCACAAATCCTCAAAAATGTGGCTTGTATGGGAGGTTTACAAGAAAAAAAGCACTCCTCAAGAAAGGCCACATACAGTCACGACTAAGCTTTGCCAAAACGCACCTTGAAGATTTTGAGGCCAAATGGAAAAATGTGTTCTGGTCAGATGAGACTGAAATTGAATGATTTGGCCTCAACACTATACGGTATGTCTGGCGGAAATCCAATACAGCTCACCATCCAAATAACACCATTCCTACAGTAAAGCATGGAAATGATAATATCCGGTTATGGGGGGTTTCTCTGCAGCAGGGAACAGAGCACTTGTCAAGATAGAAGGAAAATGGATGGGGCAAAACACCATCAAATTCTTGAAGAATTTTGTCAATGGGAAGAAGGTTTACTTTCCAACATGACAGTGACCCAAAGCACAGAGCAAAAATGGCAATGCAGTGGTTGAAGGAGAAAAAGGTGAATGTACTTGCATGGCCAAGTTAGAGCCCAGATTTAAACCCCGTTAAAAATTCTGTGTAATGACTTGAAAACTGCAGTCCACAAACGGTCATTATCAAATTTAAATGAACTTGAGCAGTTCTGCAAAGAAGAGTGGGCAAATATTGCAGTCTTGATGTGCGAAGTCAGTAGAGACAGATCCCAACAGACTAAAAGCTGTAATGAAAGCAAAAGGTGGTCCAGTGCCTTTTTTTGTACTTTTTTTTTCTGACATGCTGGTGTTATATCTTTCACTTGGATGTTATACGTTGCACTGAGTAAATATAGCTTGCTAAAACAAAATGGTATCTGTCTTCATTTCTGGCAACAAAATGATTATTTTAAAGGAGGGGGGGGGGTTATTTTCTATACCCGCTGTGAATATTCATGCTGCCTATTTGCCTTACTCCACACCTATGTTCCAGAATCACCCAGAGGATTCTGAATTGCAGGGAGAACAATTAAACCTGCAGCCTGTGAATTACAGAACAGACCTAAACAATCACATGCAACTGCACTGATTACAGTGAGACAAACTAAATTTACCGTCTTTGCACGCTTGTCAAAGTCTGATGTGCGGGTCAGTCTGTACAACTTCTGGGAATCCATGGACTAACATAGAATGCCTGCACAATGCTCCAGAAACATAAACAAATGGCTGTTGTTTGCTGTACAGGCCTCTGAGTCCATGTAAATGTGTCCTTAGCTTTTGTTTTATGAAGATCAATATGTAGAAACACTCCATAGACTCCATAGATTTTCCAAGCTAATACATGCATACAAAAGGAGACCATGAGCAGAGATGAGATTGAAGAGGGTTATTGAAGAAAGCATATAACAGTAATTAATAGTACCGTAATGGGTTTTGTGCTTTGGCGCTTGGTCACAAGGGCTTAAGACTTTTCTCTGTACCGCTTTTGATTCCAATTTTGCACTTTCTTCAGTAAACCTCCAGGTTCTCATCCCACTCATGAACTCAATTTATATATGGATGTATCTCTGTCCTGGTAACCAGCAAGGCAATACCATGGGATGAACTTCATGATCTCTCTTCTCTGGTTTGCAAACTGCTTATAATTCTGTGGATACTTGTCTAGGGAGCCAGTTATGGTCACCAGTCTTGAGTAGATTCTACGTAGGACTGAAAAAAGAGCAAAACTGTATGAGGTTCTAACAGACTGTTTTTGTATATTGCGGAAGAAAGAGAATTTGTGAGTTCCAGCTTGCCCTTCCACAAATATTTTTGTAGCTTTCTGGAGAGCTTGTGATTGATTTATCTTCTTTCTTAGTATTTTTTAATTTAGATTTGATAACATCTCCACAGGTCAAAGAGATGACCCACGCAATGCAGAAGGTTCTAAAGGGGATGACCATGATCAGAAACTGGATCAGATCCAGCACAGGTAAGAAGACACTCCCCCCCCCCCCCCCCCCCCCCCCCCCCCCCCCCCCCCCCCCCTCCCCCCCACCCCCGTAGTCAGACTTATGTGCCTCCATATGGCAGTAAAGAACAATAAAGCATACACCTTTGAAGAAGGGGAAGGTTAACCTTTTGCCATCCATGTACCATATATGTACGGCAGCAAAAGATCGGCTTCAAAATGGTTGTAAACCTCAGACATGAAATATGAAACAAAGCATAGCCCTCTACAGAGTGTACTTGTCTTAGTCCAAAGCACTGTGTCATTTCTTTCTGTGCTATGTGCACGAGTCACTTCTGACAAGTTTTTCTGACACCAAGAGAAAAAATGGTAACGGGAGAGCACAGCTTGTGATTGACAGCCTCATCTCTGTTCCTGTGAGCTGTGTGGAAGGGGTGTGTCTCTTCCCTCCAAACAGATATCCCCTCACTGAGCTCTGCAGTGGGTAATTTCAGCTCTTTGCCCCCCTTTTTTCTGACAGTTCAGACAAACTTTATAAATTCTGTAATTTGAGTGGATGTAGAGAAAAGAAGACTGCAGATAAACAGGGACAACGTATGTAGGAGGATTTGTTTCATCTCTGTGTATCACCTGAGGCTACTCACTTCACTGGGTATATGCAGGGGTTTACAACCACTTTAATGCCCACACACCGCATATATACATCACTGGGCAGCCAATGTTTCAGTGTTCAGAGCGAGCTTCTGGCACAGAGGCCCAGCTGACAAAGACAACTGTTGGTCCCCATTAACAATCAATAGCTGGCAGGAGTGGCTCCCAATCATGTGACAGCCAATCACAGTGGTCACATGGTCACTGATCCTTCCCATCCCCCGGGAACGCAGACTCTATGGAAAGGACACTCAAGCTGGGCCTGAAAGCATTTAGGCTAGGTTCACATCTCCTCGTTCCTGCGGGACGCGTTTTGCACAGGCAGGAGAACCCATTCATTTGAATTGACTCCCGTGCCCAGGGACACGCAGGGAAGAAGTCCCTGCACTTCTTCGGAATACGTAGCCTGCATGGGAACCTCAGTTCTCAGTACAGCTACAATTTCCAGTGCGGGCGGCGTGCCATTAGAATTAATGGCACCCACCTGCGGGTCCACATTCCTCTGTGCGCAGATCTTTTTTTCTGCAGATCCTCAGAGGCATCACCCTCACAGATGTGAACCCGGGGTAAGATGATGCACAAGTGTACAACCCTTCTCTAAAGTAAAAGTGCAATGCTAACAGCAGGTACAGTCAGGTCCATAAATATTGGGACATCGACACAATTCTAACACTTTTGGCTCTATACACCACCACAATGGATTTGAAATGAAACGAACAAGATGTGCTTTAACTGCAGACTGTCAGCTTTAATTTGAGGGTAGTTACATCCAAATCAGGTGAACGGTGTAGGAATTACAACGGTTTGCATATGTGCCTCCCACTTGTTAAGGGACCAAGAGTAATGGGACAGAATAATAATCATAAATCAAACTTTCACTTTTTAATACTTGGTTGCAAATCCTTTGCAGTCAATTACAGCCTGAAGTCTGGAACGCATAGACATCACCAGACGCTGGGTTTCATCCCTGGTGATGCTCTGCCAGGCCTCTACTGCAAATGTCTTCAGTTCCTGCTTGTTCTTGGGCATTTTCCCTTCAGTTTTGTCTTCAGCAAGTGAAATGCATGCTCAATCCGATTCAGGTCAGGTGATTGACTTGGCCATTGCATACATTCCACTTCTTTCCCTTAAAAAACTCTTTGGTTGCTTTTGCAGTATGCTTCGGGTCATTGTCCATCTGCACTGTGAAGCGGCGTCCAATGAGTTCTGAAGCATTTGGCTGAATATGAGCAGATAATATTGCCCAAAACACTTCAGAATTCATCCTGCTGCTTTTGTCAGCAGTCACATCATCAATAAATACAAGAGAACCAGTTCCATTGGCAGCCATACATGCCCACGCCATGACACTACCACCACCATGCTGATGAGGTGGTATGCTTAGGATCATGAGCAGTTCCTTTCCTTCTCCATACTCTTCTCTTCCCATCACTCTGGTACAAGTTGATCTTGGACTCATCTGTCCATAGGATGTTGTTCCAGAACTGTGAAGGCTTTTTTAGATGTCCTTTGGCAAACTCTAATCTGGCCTTCCTGCTTTTGAGGCTCACCAATGGTTTACATCTTGTGATGAACCCTCTGCATTCACTCTGTTGAAGTCTTCTCTTGATTGTTGACTTTGACACACATACACCTACCTCCTGGAGAGTGTTCTTGATCTGGCCAACTGTTGTGAAGGGTGTTTTCTTCACCAGGGAAAGAATTCTTTGGTCATCCACCACAGTTGTTTTCCGTGGTCTTCCAGGTCTTTTGGTGTTGCTGAGCTCAACGGTGCATTCCTTCTTTTTAAGAATGTTCCAAACAGTTGTTTTGGCCACACCTAATGTTTTTGCTATCTCTCTGATGGGTTTGTTTTGTTTTTTCAGCCTAATGATGGCTTGCTTCACTGATAGTGACAGCTCTTTGGATCTCATCTTGAGAGTTCACAGCAACAGATTCCAAATGCAAATAGCACACTTGAAATGAACTCTGGACCTTTTATCTGCTCATTGTAATTGGGATAATGAGGGAATAACACACACCCTGGCCATGGAACAGCTCAGAAGCCAATTGTCCCATTACTTTTGGTCCCTTAACAAGTGGGAGGCACATATGCAAGCTGTTGTAATTCCTACACCGTTTACCTGATTTGGATGTAAATACCCTCAAATTAAAGCTGACAGTCTGCAGTTAAAGCACATCATCAGGTTTGTTTCATTTCAAATCCATTGTGGTGGTGTATAGAGCCAAAAATGTTAGAATTGCGTCGATGTCCCAATATTTATGGACCTGACTGTAGCTGAGAGTATGTTATAGAGTATGTTATATACCCTCTGCTGTAGATACTCTCCCACACCTCCAAACATTTTTTTTTTTTTGGTGAAGGCAGGGGGGTATTGGAAGGGTGCTCAGTTTTCTGCCCCATATGTTTATAGTTCATCCAGGCAGAGAGCACATTACAGCTTAGTTATGCTCCAGTGCAAATGGAATATATAAAAAAAAAAAAAAACTGCCCACAGTGGCGCCTACAGCCTAATTTTTGGATTCTGCTTTCTATCCTGAATCCAATTATTTTCTTTATTGTCCATTGGCACTAGGGTTGTTCGTCCAAATCCCAAACACGACACTATCTGCACGTTTGCATGTTCTCCCTGTGCCTGTGTTGGTTTCCTCTAGGTACTCTGGTTTCCCCACACAGTCCAAAGACATGCTGGTAGGTTAATTGGCTCTTGTGTAAATTGGCCCTAGTATGTGTATGTATGAATGTGAGTTAGGGACCTTAGATTGTAAGCTCCTTGAGGGCAGGGGTTGATGTTATTATTATTATTATTATACAGTATTTATAAAGCGCCAATAGTTCGCTCAGCGCTGTACATTACAAAGGGGGACAGAACATGTGACAGAACAATACCAAAACAATGCAAAACATGAGGGGATTGAGGGCCCTGCTCTTTCGAGCTTACAATCTAGGAGGATGATGTGAATGTACAATATATATGTAAAGTGATGCGTAAATTGATGGTGCTATATATGTACCTGTAATAAATAAATACAACTGAGGGACACAGGACTTCTTAGAATTTTTAGACTTCCCTCTATGGTCTCCAAGAAAAAAAATTTCTGGTAAGTACAATAATCCAAACAAATTCTGTCAAGGGTCCTGTTGTTCATGTGTCTGCTACCCATTTTGCACTTGTGTTACCCCTCTACCTGAATGGCACCTGCCCTGACCTTTTTTGTGGTATATGTTGTTGACTTAGGCCCCTTTCACACGAAGGGTCCAATCAGGTCTGCCTGTCAGTTTTTCAGGTGGACCTGATCGGACTCTGCATTCACTCCTATGGACCAGTGAGTGTAAGCAGATTTGTGCCTACCTCCAATCCAATAAAAAAAATGGAAGGGGATTTGTCCCCCCCCACCTGGGATCAGATCGGTGGGCAGTTGGGTGTGAACGGACAGTCCATAGAGCAGGGTGGGCTTGGTCCATGTCATCTGCCCACTCTGCTCTGATCAGAAGGGGATCAGCAGTTAGATCCTCTGCTGATCTAATTGGAGTCTGCCCCATGTGAAAGGAGCCTTACAATTCTGTAGTTCCTCTTCTCTGGTCTATCACCTCTCCAATGTTTGCTGATAAAGCAAACCTGAGCTTTTCAATCTGGGAGTGTCTTGAAGTGAAACCCAAACCTCCTTGTTGAATTTCAAGTAAAAAACCAGGCACTTCACTGCTCAGGTTCCCACACCTACCACTGTTGATATCTGTAAAACTCTGTGACTGTTGTTTAGATCCCAGAAATGCTCTGGTCCCCCAGCCCATAGCAGGCAGTTCTTAGCTGTCAATGGTAAGGACATTTACTTGGTTATTTTAAAAAGATTGAAAAGCCCAGCTTTTGGTTGACTACACCATAGGGCCCATTCACACCAGATAGAAAAGTAAAACATAGAAAAGTGATGGCAGAAAAAGACCCAGTGGTCCATCGAGTCCTCCCGTTTTTTTTTTTGTTTTGTTTTGTTTTTGTTTTTTTGTTTGTGTGTTTTTTGAGGGTTTTTTTGGTGTACTGAAACAGAAAAAGAGCAGTGCATGCACTACTTTTTTTTCAGTTCGTTTGCATAAAAAAAATAAATAAAAAGAAGAAACGGCGCAGTACAGAGCGGTGATACCCGTCAGACCGCACCGCCCACCAGCCTCTGCATTTTAAAGCGGTGGCTGGTGTGAATGGACCCTTACTGTTTTGTACATAATCCATTTTAATATGTTTCTATATTTTGCCCTACATAATAATACATACAGGTGTGCCATAGGGAGATGATTACAGTTATGTCTTATTGTGGCAGCAAACTGAAATATTGTTATTAATTTTTTAGAATTACAGGATTCCTTGACAACTGGCAGAAACTGGAGGCATGGTTTTCACTGCAGAATATCTTAGTCAAAGTAGATGGAGAAGTGGAGGAGGACACTTTATATCAGACCATGGAGAATGTGTTTTTAACGGCTCTCTACAATAAGCAGAATAAAGGTACAATGTTTAAAGCTGAACTCCAGCATTACCTTCAGTCTTGCACCATTATATAGGCTCCTCTCATGTACTAAAACTGTTTACTCTTTCATGAAAACAGTATTTTCTCAGAGTGTACAGTCAGATACAGCTCACCTCATTTCCTAGCTGAGGGACATCTAGCATCACCTAGAGCTTTCCTCCACAATCTTTCTGTCCCTGGCCTGCCACTTTTTTTTCATGTGTTCAGTTTTTGTTCTTTCAATCATGGATACTTAACCTCACATTACATGCAAATTCAGCCTGCCTAGTATATCCACTCCTCCAGACTGGTATCTATCCATCAAGGTGTTTTCATTTTTTGCATGACTCCTCCTCCTCCTCCTGCTTGCACCAGGAATAAGGACTCTTGATAGGGGCACTAAGGCAGGGTGCTGTGATTTTTTTTTTTTTTTTAGGAAACTATGTACAAACATCCTGCCAGTCCCTTCCATCAATTTTGATCTGCATGCAGTGCATAGAGAAGCACAGAGACCTAGTGATGCCATGGGTATTTAATGAAATTGGGAAGGTTATATTTACAATTTTCTTTAGCATACTGATGAGGGGGAAAGGAAGAGCCTGATAAGGTAAGTTCCACTTTAAGTACTGGTTCCCCGCTCGCGTGAGAAATTGGCACCTTTGGTGAGTGGGTACCTGATTTTGACAGGTGCCTGCTCCCACTTCCACTGTTATCACCTAGGCAATTGGAAGTTGTCCTCCACCCCTCCCTCTTTGTAGTCTTCTTGGACCTGTCACGTGTCCCAGAAGATTACGGGACCATTCAAAAGGCGCAATGCTACTCGTGCATGCACAGTGGACACCTGGCTGTAAAGCCACAAGCATTCACAGCCAGGTGCCCACACTTAAGATGCTGGTGCCGGGGAGGGAGCATGGCTGGTGAAACCGGCTGCAGTGAGTACACCACTGCATCCTGGGACAGGTGAGTGGCTGTTTTTTAAAAGTTAGCAGCTACAGTTTTCTTTATCGTACATCACGGGACACAGAGCAGGCTGTTCATGACTATTGTGGGTTATAGGCCACCTATAGGTGAATGGACATTGGCCGACCAATCAGAGAGGAGGTCCTCCTCTATATATAATCCCTCCTATACAGGAAATACCTCTGTTTTTTCACCAATGTCAGTAAGGTGGATGGTCACTGAAAGTGTTACTGTGCTCTTGGAGCATACCTGAAAGACCAGAATGGTTCCAGTAGAGAATCATGGACTTTAATCCATTTAACAGGCTATGAGCTAAAATGGATGGTTCCCTAGCCTCGCTGGATAAGGAGAAGAATTCTTGAGGTTTTGCCTTTCTGGCGCTGGACTTCACGCAGATGGAACCCCATGCAGTTTTAAATCTGACCAAGGCACTTTCAGCGGGGTGCTATATGGGTTCTGCAGGCTATTCAGTAGGGGCACGCAAGTACTCCCCTGTGGGGGAAGCATGGACCAGTCATTCAGGAGCCACCCTAGGTAGCTCATACGGCAGCATTTACATTGACTGTTTTTATTTCAGCACTCTGCTTGCATAGCCATATCATTGTGATCTGTGTTACTAGTGCACAGGTTTGCGCTATCTGAAGTGATGTCTTCCAGAAAGTGGAGTGGGCGAGGTGCAGCAGGAAAGGACACTAATGTATCACCGCCAGGTCCTGAGGAACCTAGCTTAAGGTCCATTGTGATATCCTCTCCTAACAGGCCAGACATGACTGGGCAGTCTGAGCCGCTGCGTCTATCTGGCCTTGTAGCTTCTACTGGGGCTTCTGCCTCAGCATATGTAACCAAAGATGATCTTGCTTCAGCCTTAGCTGAAGTTTAGAAGATAAGATCGCTGGGATGATTGCATCAGTTTCTCAGCGGACTAAGAAGCGGGGTAGATCCCCATTACTAGAACCACCAATCCTGGAGCAGGAATGGGTGGAGCATGAGGATGAGGAAGGTCAGGCAGTAGAATTTTTGTTTCAGGAGTCACAGCCTGAGGAGATGCAGGAGCTCTCTGCCTCCCAGTCTCAAAGATTTTAGACCTCACTGATCTGGTACAGTCTGGATTCAGGCTACCTCTGATAGAAACCTCTGAGGTTATTTATTCTTCCCTGGGCTCTTTGAAGCCTTCATAGAGTACTCAGGCCTTTCCAGTGCATCCTCTTCTGAAGCAAATTATGTATATTGACTGGGACCACCCAGACAGGGTTTTTGTTCCACCAAAGAGGTTTTCTATTTTGTACCCCATGGAACAAAAGTTCAAGAAATGGGGGTTGCCATTAGTGGATGCAGCTGTTTCATCCCTGAATAAATCTTTAACATGTCCTGTAGATAATGTACAGGTTTTCAAGGACCCAGAAGATAAAAAAGCTGGAATCTCTTCTTAAGGCCTCCTTCTCCCTAGCAGGTTCTGCTTCACAGCCAGCTGTGGTAGCTATTAGCTTGCTCTTAAGGATTTAATTCAACAAATTTCTTACATGGCCCTCTTATCAGTGCACATGCACAGGGTTTTGTGGCTGAAGAATTAGTCAGCAGAACTACCATGCAAAAATTGTTGACAGATTTTCCCTTTCATGGGAAATGGCTGTGTGGGGAAGATTTGGACAAATATATCAAAAGATTTAAGGGGGGAAAATTGGCAGGCGGATTATCTCAGGGGAATGGGTTTTGCATCCCGATGTTTTCAAGGAAATCTGCCAGCGATGTTGTTACCTGGATGTGGATCTATTGGCATCCAGGTTTAACAACAAGATCGGACCCTTGCATGGCAGGGGTAGACGCCTTAGTGATTCCTTGGAACCAGTTGTCACTGATTTATGCCTTTCCTCCGATCCAGCTGCTGCCGTGTCTCTTACGCAGGATTCGGAAGGAGTCTGATTGCTCCAGCCTGGCCCAAGAGGGCCTGGTACGTGGACATAGTGAAGATGGCAGTAGACGGGCCGTGGGCCCTGCCATATCAGCCAGACCTGTTGTCTCAAGGTCCTATATTGCACCCTGCTTTACGGTCACTAAATTTAATGGTGTGGCTATTGAAACCCAGAATGATAAGGGAGTGTCGGATTCTATCATCTCCATTATGTTGGGTGCTAGAAAGGAAGTTTCTAGGAACATTTATTACAGAACCTGGAAGGCTTACATTGCCTGGTGTGAGGTTCACAAATGGCACCCATGAAAGTATGTGATTGGCAGGATTCTGTTATTTCTTCAAACAGGGTTGCAGAACAATTTGGATGCCGGTACAATTAAGAGCCAAGTTTCAGCATTAGCTATTTTTTTCCAGAGGCCCATTGCATCTCACTCTTTGGTCCACACTTTTTTACAATGATTGATGCATATGGCTTCTAGCGTCAGGTTGCCTTTGTCTCCTTGTGACCTGAACTTGGTTTTGGAGGTTTTGCAAAAGCCACCATTTGAACTTATTAGAGACATTCCACTGATCATATTGACTCATAAGGTGTTGTTTCTAGTGGCAATCACTTCTGCGAGAAGGGTTTCGGAGCTGGCCGCTCTATCTTGCAGAGAACCATTTCTGGTTTTGCATCATGATAGGGTAGTGTTGCGACCTCATCCTTGCTTTTTACCAAAGGTGGTTTCTGGTTTTCATCTCAATCAGGACATAGTTCTCCATTCATTCTATCCTAGGCCTCAGTCAGCAAGAGAAAGATCTCTCCATACCTTGTATGTGGTTCATGCTGTAAGGGTCTTCTCAAAGGCGACAGCACAGGTCAGGAGGTCAGATGCTCTATTTGTGCTGCCAAAGGGCCCTAGGAAAGGGCAGGTGGCATCCAAGGTGATTATTTCTCATTGGATCCGCCAATTGATCATGCAAGCCTATAATTTAAACGGAAAAGTCCCACACTTTCTGGTGAAGGCACACTTCACCAGGATTGTGAGGGCATCTTGGGCAATCCACCATCAGGCGTCCGTGGCTCAGGTTTGCAAGGCCACTACATGGTGTTTGGTTTAAACATTCACAAGATTCTACCAGGTGGATGTCAGAGCCACAGAGGATTCTGCCTTTAGCTGCAGTGTTTTATAGATGGCTGAGTAGTCCCTGAGGGATTATTGATGGTGGCTATCATGGTGTCACCTCCCCGCAAATTTCTTATTGCTTTGGGACATCTCAAATAATCATGAATATCCTGCTCTGTGTCCCATAATGTACGATAAAGAAATTTGGATTTTTTTCTACATACTTTCCTGTAAAATCCATTTCTTGGAGTACATCATGAGACACAGAAGTCCTGTGCACTGCAAGATTAGAATTTACGGTGAGCATATTCCTGTTTCGATTACTTTTATTAGGTTTTTAAGCTGAATACAGTTACAGATAACATTACATATAAAAATATGTGCATCTGGGTGACACAAGGATAATGTTATTAGGTAATAGCCAAAACCTTGGCACAAAACGTGGTCAATGAGTGAGTATAATTCCAGTGAGTACATAATTCCTATTTTACTCCCAGCTTCTCCGCTTGTTGCCCATGTGTTATAATACCTTTGATAACATTTGCTGAAAGTCACATTAACGTTATGAATTGACAACTGTCAACTGTCAATCACATAAACCAATGTCATGTATAACTATATTGTACGTTTACCTAGCCCATGCCCATATGGCACCTGTAGCAGTGTTGCAGTTTAGCGGATGTGCACCACAAATTCATGATTGGAACAGGCCCGTAGGCTCTCCTTTTAGGAGACCCACTGCACATGTCAGGGCATTTATTGTCTCCTCTCTTTAGCAATCTAATTCAATTTTATTTGTGTTATCCTGTTTTTATTTATTGCATGTGATCTACAGATAAAGAGGCTGAGAAGAAGGAAGAGATTCCGCCATTACCAGTCACACCACCAGCTCCCTCGCCACCTCCACCTCCCACTCCTCCTCCAGAGACTACCAAAGAACTACATCCTTCGTCTTCTGAAAAACAGAAATCTGCAAAAAAAGGAAAGGGAAGATCTAAGTCACCCAAAGGTCCTGTGATTTCTCTTAAATAATTGAAGATTTATCTCTGGAAATGTTTTTCCTTCCAAACCTTCCTTTTAAAATTAACAATTTCACATTACCACATCTGCTGCTGTCTTAACAAAGTTTCAAGCTCAGCATAGTGGTTTATTTTTCATGCAATATATCATAACTTACTGGGGTTGTGATATTTCCAGTAGAACATGGGATACTCCCTAAGAACTGTATTTCTTTACTTTCTAAAAGACTATTTTTGAATTTCCTATCCTTTCCATTCTTTCCTAAAATCCACCTATAGGTGCACCATCCATGCTTCTCTCTATACTTCTCTACATACTGATATTCTTCAGAAAATGACTGTTTAATGAAACTGCTTTACATTGCTAATATTACTTCTGTGTTCTCCTGTATAACCTCAGAGATCAAAAAATATCTTTCTTGTCTAATTTATTTTTACATCTATTTTCTGCTGCAGCTCTACTACAGAACTCTCTGCCATGGCAGACTTCCCCTTTCAAAGGAAAGGGGAGATCTAAGTCACCCAAAAGGTCATGTGACTTATTTATTTTATTTATTTATTTCAGGTACTTATATAACGCCATCAATTTACAACTTCTCTTAATTAATTGAAGATTTATCTCTGGAAATGTTTTTCTTTCCGACCTTCTTTTTAAAATTAACAACTTCACATTACCACGTCTGCTGCTGTCTTGTCAAAGTTTGAAGTTCAGCATAGTGGTTTATTTTTCATGCAATATATCATAACTTACTGGGGTTGTGATTTACCCAGTAGAACATGGGACACTTCCTAAGAACTGTATTTCTTTCCAAAAAGACTATTGGGGAATTTCCTATCCTTCTCATTCTTTCCTGAAATCCACCTACAGGTGCATCATCTATGCTCTTCTCTGTACTTCTCTACACACTGGGTCCTGATATTCTTCAGAAAATGACTGTATAATGAAACTGCTTTACATTGCTAATATTACTTCTGTGTTCTCCTGTATAGCCTGAGAGATCAAAAAATATCTTTTTCTTTTCTAATTTATTTTCACATCTATTTTCTGCTGCAGCTCTACTACAGAATTCTCTACCATGGCAGACTTATTTTCACTCTCCTAGTCAGTTTTTTATAAGACTTTTGCATTTATAGAGGTCTTGTATCTACTAAAGTGGTTGTAAACCCAGTGAAGTGACTGGCCTCAGATGATACACAGAGATGGAACATATCCTACATAAGTTGTACCCCTTTATCTGCGGTGTTCTCTTCTCTACATCTATTCAAAGTACTGAAGTTATAAAGCCTGGCTGAGAGTTCAGAAAAAGGGGGTGGAGAGCTGAAACTACTCTGCACAGCTCAGTGAGAAGAGCTCTGAGAGGTGATAGGAGGAAATCGACCCCCCCCCCCCCACACCACACACACACACACACACACACACACACACACTTTACACAGCTCACAGGAACAGAGCTGAGGCTCTGAGGCTGGAGGTTCCTGCCTGTCATCATTTTTCTCTTGGTGTACAGGAATGAGGTAGCAGGCAGAAATGACACTTAGTGCTCTGGATTTTATGGCTGAGGATTACAACCACTTTAAATTATATTGCCTGTTGCCTTATACTAAAAACTTCTGCAAGTGATTTTTTGTACGGCTTTTATGTTTTTATTTATGATTATATGTTAACTTGAATATAGTGTATATATGTAGATAACCTGTCCTGTGACTTTAATTGGAAGTTAAAAATAACTGTTAGTAATTAAGTAAGAAATATAGATGAAATCATGTTAGGAGGCGTATACTGTGCTATATTTGCGAAAAATCGATAAAAACCTTTTAAACCCTATATAGGCAGGAATGGAAAAGAAGCTTCGCTCAAAGAAGATTGCACAGGATCAAGTCTTGGGAAGACAGGGGTGCAGCATTTTAGGCTTTTAGAAACGTTTATCTGATAAGGAAAATGAGCTTAAGGATCAGAAGTATTAATTTTGTTAATTGGACTAATTGCACTTTTGAAAGCAACAGTCGTTTGAGCGTACACATTGTCATGTCTTGTTCAGTGTTTACAACAGTTGGCAATGCTGTATTTAGTGATGTGCTCAGTTTTCTAAAAGCTGACTGATTTCCTACATTGTAAAATAAAATACCTTTCTGCACAATGTACTTTTGCTGGAACAGTGTAAATGGCTTTATTTGAGGTCATATTATGCACAAGAGAACCTGTAGCTTTGGAAAACGACAATAGGCTATGAAGTAAGCTGGCAGGGAAATGTAGAAATATTTTTTTCCATGGAAATCATCATACAGACATAATTTATCTCATACCAATGGTATTGCAGAGGAAGGGGGGGATGCTTTTTTAGTTAAGTGCCAACCATGTTTTACCTAAAATCCCTACCTTTTTTAACATTAAACTCCTATATCTAAAGCCCAAAGTCTTTATGAGGTGTTTGCCAATAAAGAAGAGTGCTTGAACTGCATATAGCATGGTTTATTGATCTTTGTGGCTGAATACAGTGCTTGCACAAGGATTTAGAAGAAGTGCTACAGCATAGGGGGTATTGCAGAATATAAAATTTGTTTGGACCAAACCATTGAGAAAATAGTCTTCTTTCACTTATGAAGGCTCATTGGGGTTTTTTTGTTATATACCTTAAAGTGATTGTAACCCTTTTTTTTTTTAATAACAAACATGTCATACTTACCTGTTCTGTAATGGTTTTGCAAACGACAGCCCCGATCCTCCTCCTCTCGGGACCCCTGATGGTGCTCCTGGCTCCTCCCCTCTGTTGAGTTCCCCCATAGCAAGCCACTTGCTATGGGGGCACTCATGCTGACTGTGTGTCGATTGACACACTAAGCACGGCTTGGCCCCATGTCCAGCTCCCTCTTCACTGGCTGTATTGGCAGGAGCTAATGTCTCTGAGCCATTGAGAAGGGAGTGAGCCACTGCTCACTGCTTTGTAGCTGCAACTGCTGCTCCAGGTGCCATGCCTGCAGCGTTCCATTTCTCTCTCATCTATGCACAGTAAGGAAGTAGTGAACAGCGCGACTGTTGCCAGTGTTGTTATGCAAACTATTTATGGAAAATGCAAATGGCGATCCCCACCGGTCTCAACTTCACCTCTCACACATCTCACCCGTTAAATAGACTTAAAGCGGAACTTCATTCTTTTAATCAACAGTGACTATTTTTAATCCCTATGATAAACCGGGCTTTTTTTCAGCTGGTACTTTGTGGAACTGAGTTCCACCACCTCAAGCTCAGGCCTTCTGCTCCCTGCTCACCACTATTACTTGCAAACACAGGAGTCTGACTTGTGTGTTTAGAAGTGATAGCTTTTCTCCCAATGGCTCCCACAGATCTGATCTCCTGAGCAGTTCCCACTGAGTGCAGGATGGAGACAAGGGTGATACCGGTGTCTGGGGTGCAGCGCAGATGCTGACACCCCAAATGGATGGAGCCACCTACAATGTGTGGGGAGATACAGAAACAAAAGTAAGATATGTGGAATATGGTGGTGGAGATTTTAAGGAGGGGGGGGGGGGGGGGGGTAGGGGCAATGGAAGGGGGTTGTATGCAGAGGTCAGAGCTGAAGAGGGATGAAAGTGAGATATGGATGGGGGATGCAGAGGTAAGCAGCTGTGGAAGAGGGCTGAACTCTGCACTCTGTGTGTAACTACCCCCCAACTCTGCACTTGGTGCTTAATGCACACCCATTATTAGATGCGGTTTGGAGGGGTGTTTTGTGTGTGTGTGCGTGTGTGTGTGTGTGTGTGTTTGTGTGTGGTGGTGGGGAGAGGGGTTGGTTGGGGTGTTATAATTGAGTTTCTGCACTTATTTTCTGAGAAAAAAAGTCCTGATCATAAGTGATAAAGAGAACATGTTAATAACTCTCCACAATTCAAAGCCTTTCATTACCCAGAATTAAAAAGCTTTATTTTATTAATAATGAAGTGCAGTGACAGGGTTTGCTTGATAGAGAGTTAATGTATGTTTTAAGGGATTTTTTAAAAATGAAATCAACTGTATATGGTCCTATTAATATTAACGTGTTTTCTAAAAATGTTGTTTGCATTATATATAGCATATTCTCTCATGATGCAAAAAATGTAAATAGTTGTACATAGGCATGGATATGTTTGTGGTTTCAAGCAGAATTCAAGCCAAAGCTTATATCTGTAGTTTTGAGTAGATTGCTGAAGTGTTAGAATCTTATGAGTAGGGCCCGCTTCATTCTATTGTTTTTACTGTATTGTAACTACTGTCGCCCTTTATATTGTAAAGCACAGTGCAAAGTGTTGGAGCGATATACATCCTGTATAATAATAATAATAATCTGTCAGGATTTAATCTCTGTCTGTGGCCCCATTTCTGATATCCACCCTCCGTAAATTCCCTGATGACCGTAGTCCCTGGGACAAAAAGAGAGGTGAAATGTACAGTGTTACTGTTGTCACTGAAACAGAAGTAGAAAAGAGGTTTCCCAGTGTGAACCCTTGTTTCGGTGGCAACTGTCAAAAATGGGATTTCTTTCTTTACTTGCTGTTGTGTACCTGGTCAGTAAATGAGGGGACATTTCCCTAACACTGTCAATATACACCTGCAGAGATTTTTGCTATTTCAAACTCTATCCAACACTAGGGAAAACGTTAGGTGAAGTTCTATATTAAACTCTTGGACAACACAGATAATAAATAACTATTTTATGATATTGCAAGATCTGACAATCTCTCGCTGATCTTATATGAATAATAATAATAATAAAAATAATAATAAATGTATTAATTAATGTATTTGTTCAATACATACTATGTGTGCAGTTTGTTTATGTATAGATAGATTTATGTAAGTCTCACAAGGCAGCTTCTGATTGCATCGTCTTTCCTTTATTGTTGCTTATATATTAATTTAATAGCAGGTCCATTCTTTTTTTTTCTGAGCTAAAGTTGTTGTAAGACTGTATTTTTGTAAAAATGCCAGTTGTGAGCTAATTTGTCTTGTTTATCCTCATAGATAGTTCACTAGATAAA